TCCTGCCAATTTTATAACACCTTTATAGCATGTGATTTCACATTTATTCATTATTTTTAAGGGAGAGGTTATATTGACAAACTTACAAACTACACTAAGTATGACTAGTCAGATTTCAATCAAGAGTGTATGACTAGTCAGACTTAGTGTAGTTTGTAAGAAAAAAGTTTGTCAATATAACCTTTTCCCATCTTTTATATATATATATATGGGTTTCCTTTTTTTACAGTTAATGTAGATAACTTATCTACATTTAGCCCAAAATGACGTCGTTTTGAGGAGGAAATCAAGGTATTTTTGTAATTATAATTTATTTCAGGGTTATAACAGTCTTTTTCATTATTATTTTTAAATTTTCCAATCCAAAACGATATCATTTTGGGAGAGCGAATGTAGATAACTTATCTACATTCACTGTAGAAACATTAAAACATATATATATAAACTTACAAATCATATTATATATGATCGATAATACTCTACTTAATTAAGAGTGTATTCCTGGCCAGATGTAATATATAAACAAAAAATTTATAAATATAACCTAACGTAGGATGCAAGCCTTGAGAGGTAAGGACTAAGAACCAAAAGTAGAATAAGGTGAAAAAGAGAATAAGCTACACTAGCCCAATTGATGCCTTTTCTGTTTTATCTATTCCTTTTATTTTTCTTCCTTATTTCACATGTACTCTTGAGTTAGTCAATATATAGCTCTTTATGAGCCCTAAATTATCTGGCCTTACACCATAATCAGCACACATACCAATTTAATTTAAACCCCATAAACACATGTACATGGTGATTCTGAAATTTATAATGGATCAGATAATTATATATACAAACTAATTGCATTGGAGTAAATAAGGGAAGCAAAGTGAAATTTGACTTTATGACTAATGCTACAGGTACATTGACTTGAGCAACCGCGTGAATATAGTATAGCTTATAAACAATACAATTTCCTGACATGTAGCTTCCGTTACCCGGACACGCAAAATTTTGTAAAATTTGTGTGTTTGACACGTGTCTGACACGGACACGTTCCGACATGTTCGGACACGCGTCTGACATGCGGTCAATATTTGGAGACACGCAGTCAACTCTCCGACACGTTCCGACACGTAGTCAATATTTAGGGACACACAGTCAACATTTGGGAATACGCTCGGACACGCTCGGACACGTTGTTTTTTTATTTTATTTTTTATTTTTTTTGTTTTTTTAATTTTTAATTTTTTTTAAATCTTGATTTTATTTTGTTAACTAAATATAAAAGAAATAATTTATAAATTAATTTTTTTCTGATATGAAATTTGACATTAAAAATTAACAAAGTACGAAAAATTATTTATATTTATATTTATGTTATGAAATTTAAATATTTGATTGGTTATATGACTTATTATAAATTCTTATATGTATTAAATATAAATCATATTGTATATATTAAAATTTTTATTTAATATCTAAACGTGTTTCAACATGTCCAAATATGACATTTTTTAAAATTAACGTGTCAACGTGTCATGTCCCGTATCCCGTGTCCGTGCATCATAGCATGTAGCTAAGCTACTATCTCGTATAACATCGGGTTCTATTATCGAGGACGTTATAAGATTTTACAACGGGGTCTCCCTAGAACCAGCTTCCTTTAGACTTAAACGGGTTGCTTCTTCACTGTTGAGCATTAAAACAAAATCTGACATGGTTGGCCTATCTTAGTCATTTTCTTGGATTCATAATAGGCCCACTTGGACATTAGACGAAAATGCTGGCATGACATGATTCAGACTGGGTTGGATCCACCAATTGATGAGCTTTCCAGGCCTTAGAGATTCCAATCATAAACATATTGAGCAACCATAAGGCTTTAGGGGGTGTTTGGTTGAAGGCATTTGTTGAGAATGATAAATAAATGAATAGTGGGAATATCAGATACTTTCGTTTGGTTGAAGGTGGTTTCTGACTTAGCTACCTAAATGAGTTTCCTAGCAAACGTATTTGCATATCAATTTGAAGACATATTGGCGGCCAAAGTTACTCTTCTCTTAGTGTTTGGTTGAAGGTTTATTTTGGGATTGATGGGAAAGTGTAAGTGGATATTGGAAAATATCACGTTTGGTTCAGGTTTTTTCAAAAAATACCAGGCAAATAAGATAGATGGGAAAATAAATTTTGTGTTGATTTTTGAATGAAATTCACTGTTACAGAATACCACTTGAGATGTGGTATTTTGAGATAATTGGGGAAGTGAGAAAACAGGTGCAAAGTTTCTCCCGAACATAGATTTTGCATATTTAAATAAATTTCTCTGGTAATTTTTGGGTCAACCAAACAACTTTTTTTACATTTTCCTATCAAACTTATTTTCCAACTATTTCCCCATCAATTACATTTCCCTAGTAAATATTTTTTTTTCCCGAACCAAACACTAAGGGGTTGTTTGGTTCAAGTTTTTGGAGAGGATTACTGGTAATCCTTCTTTGGTAAATGTAATTACCACGTTTGGTAGAAGGAATAAATTACGATTCCCGGATATCCAAGGATTACCGGTAATTTGATTTATAAAGAAAAGTCACTATTCAGATTACCAAAAATAATATGGTAATTCGGAATACCAAGTAAAGGGAAAACACAACAATAAATTTTGAGACAAAAATACCCCAATACACATAAAAATCTAGACCCAATCTATCAATTACAAAAGTAAAAATAGTTTGGGGTTATTTTTGTAAAATAACCTCATATTCCAAGTCATATTTCGTTCTAAACCAAATATGGAATCAGTAATTTTTACCCAATATTCCCGGTAATATTTTGGCGAACCAAACACATCTTTCGTAAGATTCCAAGTAAACTCAATTTCTACTGAATTCCCATTAATCATAATTCCCGGTCACCAAAAAATTTCTCTTGTACCAAACACACCCTAAGTGGTATTGGTGAAAAGCTGGATATTTTCTCACAAGGAAAAAGTGCCCAAAGATGAGCGTACCCTTCTCGTAGTTGTTTGGGATCTATGAGCCACTTGGCATCCAAATTGAACTCTCCAACAGAGTGAACCTCATTACCAGATCCCATTCTACTTTCCTTCAAGAAGATGTGAAACTAAGTAGTATAACAAGTAACAGAATCACTCACACACAACAAAAAGACCATGCCCTTCAATACACTACAAGGAACAACTCAAAGACACGTGGTAGAAATGAATCAAAGGTACACAACAGCAAAGGAGGTAGCTTTCATTTCTGGGTTTGACAAAAGAATTGTTTAACTGGGTACCCAAAAGTCACCTTTCCCAACAAAGAGTTTAGAAGCACCCACCAAAACTAATGAATGAAGTAAAAGGTTGAAAAGAGCCACCAAAACTAAATGACCCACATGGAGATTTGGGACAAAATGGAGAAGATGGTTGGTGTAGTTGGATGAGAAGAGATGAACGTTGGGATTTGACTTGATGTGTACGGGTAGAGTAGCGTGCCACCGTAAATAAATTTTACAAAGTAAAGTTACCTAATTTTTCTGTCTATATTTTACTTACAATCAAACATAGATTTTAAAAAAGTTACTTAATTTTTTCGGTAATTTTTTTTCAACCAAACAACTTTTTTTACATTTTCCTTCCTATCTCATTTTCCAACTATTTCCCTGTATATAACATTCTTTTATTATTCATAAAATTTCTCCTCAACCAAACGACCCCTAGTAAGTACAGAATAAGGGATTACTTGAGTGACTTACATGCCCTAACTAGTTTCATGAGCGATCTGGCTCATTAAAGGTTGCATTCCTCCGACCGCTCACAATTCCTAGCAAAATGACACCAAAGCTGAATACATTAGGGTGGTGTTTGGTTGGAAGTTTTTCAGCGGATATCTATCTTTCTCAAGTATGGCTTTTAGAAATATTATGTTTGTTTCAACGTTTTTCACCAAAAATTCATCTATCCAATTTGTCTGGATTTATGAGAAACATAGATATCCGCACTGTTTAGAAACTCAATTTGAAGGTGGGATTTCTCGGAAAACCGGTTATCTGACTTTTAATGCACTGTTGATTTCATAAAGTTACCTAATTTTCCCAGTAAAGTTTTTCCCCACCAAACAACTTTTTTTTACATTTTTCTACCTATCTCACTTTATCTATCTTTTCAATCATTTCTCTATCTATCTCATTTCTTTACTATTCCAAAAAAATTTCCTGAACCAAACGCCCCCTAGATTATTTAGAGAAAAGGCCATGCACTGGATATTAAGGTGACATTTGGTCTGTGCATCCACAAGATAGAATATCATTAGTTTCTCAATAATGTACCCGTCACTGCAGTATCTCACATGCCTGCCTCATTCTTCAAAGAGTCAGCAATAACTCAACTATGTTCTAGCTTCATTCTCGGAAAAATTTCTTGCCATGACAAAGTATGATATTCTAGGGTTCAAATTAATATCCAATAGTATTTTGCTTGTTTTCACATCTCGATGAATGATTCTTAATCTCAAATACTTGTGAAAGTAAAGAAGTCATTGAACAATTATCTTTGTTTCAAGTCAATTCTTATTCGATTTATTAAATTCGTTGTATATCTAGCCGTGTGAGATGTATTGCACCCATATGAATGGAATGACGGGGGGAAATAGATCTGAAAGAATCTACTGACCAAAAAAAAAAAGAAATCCAAGCTTTTGTTTGGCATGTACTCTTGTTCCTGGTGTACAAGCTTGTCAAGATTTCTGCTCTGAAGCTTAGAAATTAATTGCACCTCAGTTTTGAACTGAAATAATCCCTGTCCTGAACTTCAAAAGCCTTTTGACTGCAACTTCTTGTCCAAATAACATTCCCCGAAATAAATACCACATATTGGCTATTCAAAGCAAACTGCCCCATTGTATGACTCATTCTTTGTTGGGTCCTTTTTAATTCTGTTACTTTAGTTTTCTCAGAAGTCAGTACCATGTTGGTAAAACTCTCAAAATGCTAAAACCAAGATCTAATAAAGATGGGGTACATAAGCAGACACACGTTCTCAATTTTAGACATAAAAGTAATAAGGAGGAAAAATAAGGTGGAAACCACTGGAAGTACGAGTATTAACAGCAGCAGCTCCCTCCTCGGCTGATCTGAGACAGGTCAAAAGAATTAAGACAGATGTAAGTTGGTGTCATCCAAAATAATTCTCAGGACACTCAAAATGCACAGCTGCATAACATGGCTCAGGAAATGCTGAAATATGCTGCAATTATTAGGGGGGGTTTCTCTAGAAAACACCACATTTATCACTCAAAAAAATTAGGAATTAAATGGAAGAAGCATGGATAGTTATCACGACAATTCCTGATATAAGAAGTAGTCCTTTCAAGGACCTACTGGTGAAACGAATTGACTGGACACAATCATACAGAGATCATAACTGTTTGCTTTACTACTCATTAGGAAAAAAACAATCTATTACTGATTTATTGCCCACACACATTTCATAATATGAACAGAAATTCAGTTTTAGCTCCGTAGTGAAGTTGACATACAGTTCCATCGCCACGTAAAGAAGCATAGGCAGCAAAAGAAGAATTAGTCTTACACATCAGTTTCACAGTCCGTGGGACCAATACGGTCGGGACAAACACAAAACATAAAGAATATGAGACCAATTTACTGTGATGAAAGTTAGCCACGTCAATAGGCAGAGTAGGTTTAAAGTCTATCAACATCACCAAAAGGACCACGGTTCATTCGCTATAGGTGATTGACATTGCTGCACTAGCCAAATAAAAAAGGTTAACATGCTCCTCCATGGATTCGGCAAGCCGAGATTTATAATGACAGAACTATTGCTTAGCTCTTATTCAGTGATAGGGAGGCAATTTAATTAGAAGAAAAAATGACAAAGATGTGCAAGCTCTCGGATGCACAACTAAAATACACTTAAGCAAGCCACTTACACAATCATATTCAAAAGGAACATAAGAAATGCAGCAGTATTTATCTCTGAACGGATCAATCATAGCCTTTTCCCAGACAGTTCAAACAGCGTTGAACCCTGCAAAACCATGAGTAAGCATTAGTAAACTAGAATTATTCAAAAAGTCATAATGCTTGAAGTTAACCTGAAGAGAATAAATTCAAGGGAACTAGGAGTAATTTCCTTGGAACTCAACTTTAAGACAACCCCAATAACCAAAATGGTCTTCCTTGCCTTATTTTCTCAGCAAGCATACCTCAGTACTTGAAATTCACATCGAATGTTAAACTAGGCATAACATGAAGAAGAGTGTGTTGAAGATAGAGATTTAAATTTGAATTATTGTTGCTTAGAGATAGGAACAATAGCTAATTTGATTTGAATAGAAGTAGTTTGTAATTTAGTTTGTATTTACTGTTAGGCTGATAGCTGTTTTAGAAGTAGTTTCCTTAATTTGTGTTAAGGTTGTTAAAATATTACCTGTATAAATTCACCTCATTTGAGAGGTAAAGTAATGAAGATCGAAAGTATTTCCAGGAATTTAATTTTTAACATGGTATCAGTTGTGTTTTGATCCAGGAAATCAAGGTCCCATCATAATTTTTTTTTCTTCTTCTCCTTTCCTTAAAAATTCCTTCCCACAGTTTCAATTTTTTTTTACCCGTTTAATTTAATATTACCCGTTCTCCTACCCGAAATCAACATTCTATTCTCGAAAATCCCCTTCCTTATCTACAATCCCTAATTTTCCATGGAGAACACAGAGAACCTTCTTTCACCCACCGATTCTTCCACCTCTGCCCCATCCCAAAACATTATCATTCAACAAGATTCTTCTTCGTTTCCCATCACTGTCATCCTCGATGACTCAAACTATCCTCTTTGGTCCCAGTTAATGGACATGCGAATTGGAGCTAGGAATAAATCTGGCTACATCACTGGTACAACACCAAAACCACCCATAGCTGACCCCACCTATGCTACCTGGGTCACTGAAAACCAGAAAGTAAAAAGCTGGCTTATTGAATCCATGACCCCTCCCTTGATGCAGCGGTTCATCCGCCTTGAATCAGCCAAAGACATCTGGGATGCCGCACTTCGCACCTTCTATGATGGGTCAGATGAAACCTGTCTCTTTGAACTCCATCAACGATCCTTCTCAACAAAGCAGCATGGTCGCCCTCTTTCCACATATTACAATGAACTACTGTCTATTTTCCAAGAAATTGACCACCGAATGTCTTCTCCAGCAACCACCGTGACTGATGTGGTTCATATGCACTCCTCGATGGCTCGTCTACGGGTCTACATATTTCTCAGTGGGTTAGACTCTACCTTCGACCAGGTACGAGGTGAGATTCTTCGTAAAGATCCAAAATTGGATCTTGAAAGCACTTATGCATTTCTTCGCCGTGAGCACCAACAACGAATCACAATGGGTCGTCCTAATCCTTCATCAGAATCCTCGGCTTTGGTATCTAATTCTGCTCTGGTCTCTCATGTCTCTCGTTCCCCTTCTGCGAATCCTCCTTCCAAGTTTCGAAAAGATATTCCTTCTGGGAAAACGTTGGTGTGCTCCCACTGTGGTGATTCAGGCCATTCCAAGACTCGATGTTATGAAATCATAGGATATCCAGATTGGTGGGACTTCACAAAGAGACCTCGACGAAAGGTAATCTCCAAAGCTCTTCAGTCTTCTTCCGAAGGTACACCCTCTGCTTCTCCTCAGGCTCATGTTGTGTATGAAGGTATATTAGGTAAGACTATTGCTTTATCTGCCACTTCTAGGAATTGCTCATGGATAATTGATACTGGGGCGTCAGATCATATGATTCGTGATGCCTCTGCGTTGACACATTGTTCTTCTTGTAGTAAATCAACCATAACTACTGCTAATGGTAGTTCTGCCTCCATCACGGGTCAGGGCACTATTACTCTGACCAAAACTCTCACACTTCACTCTGTTCTTGTGGTTCCATCTTTGGATTTCAATCTGTTAATCTGTCAGTCAACTTACCTCACAACTTAACTGCACTGTGATTTTTTGGCCCAATTTTTGTGTTTTTCAGGACGTCCAGACACAGGAGATTCTTGGCTATGGTGTTAGACATGGCAACCTTTATTTCTTAGACCTGCCTCCTCATGACACTCCCTCAACTCATCAAGCTTCCACCACTGACTCTCCTCATTCTGAAGTTTGGCTTTGGCATAAGAGACTAGGACACCTCTCCTTTACTTTCCTTAGGAAATTATCTCCCCATTTATTTTCTAGATGTCTTCCCTCTGAATTTAAGTGTTCTATTTGTGAAATGGCTAAAAGCCATCGAATTCCTTTTTATTCCAGTTCAAATAAGAGTTGTATCCCTTTTCAAGTCATTCATTCTGATGTTTGGGGACCTGCTAAGGTTCCTTCCTTCTCTCACTCTTATTATTATGTATCCTTTATCGATGAATGTACTCGAATGGTTTGGATTTCCTTACTCAAAAATAAATCTGAAGTCTTCTCTGTTTTTCAGCACTTTCATAGTATGGTTCACACTCAATTTAACAGTTCTATCCAGATTTTCCAATCAGATAATGGCCTTGAATACAAAAATAAACTCTTTTATGATTTTTTGCTCTCTAAAGGAATAAAACACCAAACCTCATGCACTTATACACCTCAGCAGAATGGATTAGCTGAGAGAAAAAACCGACAATTATTAGAGGTGGTAAGGGCTTCATTATTTGGAATGAATGTCCCTTCTTCTTATTGGGGAGAGGCCGTTCTCTCAGCTGCCTATCTCATCAACCGTACCCCGTCCAGTGCACTCAATTTTCTTACCCCTCAACAGAAATTGGAATCCTATTTTTCTATCCCTCATGTCATGAATTTAGAACCTAGAGTATTTGGTTGCACTGTTTATGTTCATGTACCCAAACCTCTCCGAAATAAACTTGAACCTTGTGCTATAAAATGCATCTTTGTAGGATATTCTGACCTCCAAAAAGGATATCGTTGTTTTGATCCAAAATCAAAAAAAATGCATGTAACTCTTGAAGTCTCTTTTCTAGAATCTGAAGCTTTTTATTCAGGGGGAGCCACTCATTCTTCTTCTCAGGGGGAGATTCAACATATTAGAGAAGAAGAAATTTGCTTGTCTGTTCCTATAACCCCTGCATTAACTTCTCCTATCACGGTTCATAACCTCACACATACTATTCCTTCTCAACATTCTTCACCAGAAGAAACACCATGTCTACCTCTCATAACGGAACCTCTTGCTATGGACAATCCTGAAGCTCAAACAGAAAACATTACTGAGGTAAATTCTGCTCCTGCTCCTATTTTAAATAATTCTGCCCCTACTTTAAATAATTCAGATCCTACTATACAAATTAGAAGGTCAGAAAGACAAACCAAAGGTATACCCAAGAAAAATTATGAACCAGATCCGAATGTCACAGTGAAATACCCCATTAGTAGTTATGTGTCCTCTCATAGGCTATCTGAACCATATGCATTAATGGTTGATCAATTATCTACTGTAGCTATTCCTAACAGTGTGCAGGAAGCAATGGAAAATCCAAAATGGAAGGCAGCTATGAACATTGAAATGGAAGCACTTCAAAGTAATAAAACTTGGAGCCTAACCACCTTGCCAAAAGGAAAAAAAACAGTTGGATGCAAATGGATATACTCAGTAAAGTTAAAAGCAGACGGAAGCATTGACAGATATAAAGCAAGACTTGTGGCAAAGGGATATACTCAGAAGTATGGAATAGACTACCAAGATACATTTGCTCCAGTGGCCAAACTCAACACGATCCGGATTATAATGTCTGTGGCAGCCAACAGAGATTGGCCATTAAAGCAGTTCGATGTGAAGAATGCCTTCCTAAACGGTGATTTAGAAGAAGAAGTGTACATGGAGATTCCACCAGGAGTAAGGTCAGAGGAAAATACAGTTTGCAAGTTAAATAAAGCTTTGTATGGTCTGAAACAATCACCAAGAGCATGGTTTGGAAGGTTCTCACTAGCAATGAAGAAGTTTGGCTATAGACAGAGCAATTCGGATCATACACTGTTTATCAAACAGAATGAAGGTAAAATAGCCATACTCATTGTCTATGTAGATGATATGGTGCTAACAGGAGATGATGTAGAAGAAATGAAATTATTGGAAAAGAAACTTGCTGCTGAGTTTGAAATGAAGAGTCTAGGCCAACTAAAATACTTCCTGGGAATAGAAATTGCAAGGTCTAAACAAGGAATATTTTTGTGTCAGAGAAAATATATCCTAGACATCCTATCCGAAACTAGGATGATGGCTTGCAAGCCAAGTGATACTCCAATAGAGATGAATCATTCACTTGGAATATATCCTGATCAAGTGGAAACAGATAAAAGCAGATATCAGAGATTAGTAGGAAAGCTAATATATTTATCACACACAAGACCTGACATTGCTTATTCTGTGAGTGTTGTAAGCAGGTTCATGCACTCTCCTAGTGAAGAACATATGAAGGCAATATATCGAATCCTCAGATACCTCAAAGGATCACCAGGAAAAGGTATCCTATTCTCAAAAAATAAAAAAGCATGTATAGAAGGATACACAGACTCTGATTGGGCTGGAGATAAAACTACCAGACAGTCAACCTCTGGATACTTTACATTTGTAGAAGGAAATTTAGTCACTTGGAGGAGCAAGAAACAGAAGGTAGTAGCAAGATCTAGTGCAGAAGCAGAGTTCAGAGGTATGTCATATGGCATTTGTGAATTACTTTGGATCAGAAGCATACTTTCAGACTTAGGAATCACATATGATCAGCCAATGAAGCTTTTTTGTGATAACAAGGCTGCTGTGGAAATTGCACACAATCCGGTCCAGCATGATAGAACTAAACATGTTGAAGTGGATAGGCATTTCATTAAAGAAAAGTTAGATAATCAAGTGATTCAGATTCCATTTGTTCGATCCGAAGACCAGCTTGCAGATGTCTTAACAAAGGGTGTGTCTGTGAAAGTATTTGAAAAGTTGATTGACAAGTTGGGCATGATGAATATCCATGCACCAACTTGAGGGGGAGTGTTGAAGATAGAGATTTAAATTTGAATTATTGTTGCTTAGAGATAGGAACAATAGCTAATTTGATTTGAATAGAAGTAGTTTGTAATTTAGTTTGTATTTACTGTTAGGCTGATAGCTGTTTTAGAAGTAGTTTCCTTAATTTGTGTTAAGGTTGTTAAAATATTACCTGTATAAATTCACCTCATTTGAGAGGTAAAGTAATGAAGATCGAAAGTATTTCCAGGAATTTAATTTTTAACAGAGTGAAAGCAAATGAAACTAACCTGTTTCCTTCGCACGTAGGACAAACGCAGGGGTTAATTGCAATAGGGTCGTACATTGGTGACCAAGCTATGGTGACGTTCCCATTGCACAGTTTGCATATATAGAACCCCTTCCCTCTACAAGCCCTACACGGCAACGCAATTTTTTTCTACATACAAAACCCACAACGTGTCCCATTAAGTGAATTTTCAAAAGAATAGGATAAAGTCATACAGTTTAGCTTATCTTTACCCTTTTCAACTCAGACGCAAAGTTAAGCGCTTTGAGGGTAGCAGTAGAAGCCAAGTTCAAAGTAACTACTCCACCCAAGATAACTGCAGCTCCTGTAACCAAGGTTCGCAATGGTCCTTGATTCATGTCTTCCACTATCTATGCTTCTTCTCACACCCAATTTATCAAACAAGTTATCCGCAGGCCCAACACCACCCAAACTACGTCTCGTACAATGAGGTCGCAAAATAAGACAGCTTTTTACTGTTTTCCTCGTTGAACTATAAATAAGAACCCTGTTGACATAAACGACTTGTGTTTCGTGGTGCGGTTCATTGAAAGTTGGTTGTAAATATTATTATTATTTATTAATTTGTTATTTGTTGTATTGAGACTTTTATAAACAGAGAACCATTTTGTACGGATGATTTCCGATTATCCTTTTTCAAGTAAATTTGACACTCATCTACGACATGTCGTTTCATTATTGTCGAATTTCAACTTCATCGGTTTGAATCTGATGTCGTAGCAGAGGTGTAGAAGAAGAAGAAGAAGAAAGTGTCTTCGATGAAATGAAATTCGGAATTGCGAAAAATCCCATTAATATTCTTCACCCTCAGTCATCGTCTTCACTTGTTCTTTTCCATGTACCGTCACTTGCTTGCAACTTTCTTCACAGTTCCAGCACAATATGGACCTTCGGCTCCAAAACCCTCAGGTTGTCGTTTTCTTCGTTGAGAGCGTCGTGTGCTTCTACCTCAACTATTTATGGAGGTTGGGACGATCTTGGTGGCTCAGAAGGGCCTGCTGAGTCCGATTTGTTGCGCAATTTTCTCGTTTCTGTTGGAATCGATGACAGGAAGAACATTTTCGTGTTCCTATTGGGCCTGGTTTGTGCGATGGCGATTTCTAGGGTTAAGGTTTCTTCTATCCTTGTTCTTCCTGCTTCTGTGTTGGTTTTCGCCGTTGGTTTCACTGTAGGGTTTTTCCGGAATGGGACCTTCGGTGATGTGAGAGTGAGTGGAAGTAAGAGGAAAGAAAAGGAGGAGAATTTGAAGCTTTCTTGTGCGAAATTGAGGAGTTTGGTGGAATTCTTTGATGAGCTTGATCTTGTAGTGAATAACTTGAAGAGTGAGGTACAAAGTGCTATCAGGAATAATAGGATTCAGGTGGATGATTTTTATGGTTATGTTGAAGTCACAGATAAGATAAAATTATCAGCTTTGAATGCTAGGAGCATTGTCAAGGCTTTAATCGACGATGAGGAAAATTCTAATGGCGTTATGGTTGAGAACCATAAGAATGCTAGAAGAAAGAAACAAGTTGGAGAAGCTGGGAACCAGATGTTAAAATCTATTGGCAGTTTGTTTGGAGAAACTTTGCTTAGCTCCAATTCCACCAAAGTCAGAGAAAATGTTAAGCAAGAGGGAATGGAGAAAGCATTAAATCAATCTAGAGGAAATAGTAACGTGCCTCCTGTTGAAGATAGGGCTTTAAATTGGGTTGATGATCATAAAGCATATGATAAGTTGGATTCTTCTCAAGACTCATCCACTAACTCTGTTTTGGACATGGACAGAAATGGAAGAATAAAAACTACTCCTGAGAAAGAAAATTTTGGCTTAGGGGACATTGGCAGAAGCACTACCAGAATCCCTGAAGAAAAAGAGTATAGTTACCAGAACAAAGGATTGAGGTTCACAAATAATCACAGCTTTTCTTTGAAGATGGATTCCACCAGCATAACCGACATGTGGGAATCCCGAGACAATCTGCTTGATTCTGAAAGCTTTAAAGTCAGAATGAAACAAATGGAAAGTGAGTCATCATTTGTGCGCGAGCAGTCACTCAATCCAGGTCATGAAACTTTCAGGTCTTCTCGTGAAAAGAGTGATACTGGGTCTGATAGGTCTCAGTATAAAGAAGATGGGGTAAATTATAATGACCATCGTCATCCTGCCAATGACTTGTCTGCACGTGAGAATGAATTCAATACCTCTTCATCTGCAAAGATTTCAGATGATATGATGTTTGATAGGTATCTTGCTGAAGCAACAGACCTTCTAAAACAATCAAGAGAGTTTCTAAAGGGTAGGCATGATGGAGAACAAGCTGAAATCATGTTATACAGGTCCGCGAACTTACTATCAAAAGCTGTGGACTTGAAGCCTATGAGTTTGTTGGCTGTAGGCCAGTTAGGAAACACTTATCTTCTTCATGGAGAATTAAAGTTGAAGATTAGTCGTGAACTGAGAACTCTTCTTTCAGGGAGCATCCAGCCATCATCTGGAAAACATAGTAGAATATTGAAAGGACTGCTGAAAAAAATCAATAGTAAAGAAGAAGTTGCACCATTGCTTATTGATGTATGTGAAGAGTGTGAAGAGCTTCTAGTAGAGGCGGGCAGAAAGTATAGGCTAGCGTTGTCAATTGATGCAAATGATGTGAGAGCCCTATATAATTGGGGCCTTGCTCTCTCTTTCCGTGGGCAATTGATAGCAGATATTGGTCCGGTATGCTTTATTCTTGACATCATTAAATTACTTGTTTCAGTTCTTCAATCAAGTTGTTAGGCTGTGTCATTGCTCATTAGATTACATGTTTCTTTCATTTATGTTTAGCCACACTGACCTGTATATCGTAATCAGCTTTGATTCTAGAAATCGGTTAGAAATTTGTTTAATCTGAGATTAAAGCTTATGTGACTTTGGTATTTGCTTGACATAAATTCTTCTGCCAGTTGGTTGTGCTGAATTTTGTTTTATATTCTGTTTCTGTATTAAAGTATGAGTTCTATTCAAATATCACAGGGTGCAGCTTTTGAGGCTGAAAGAGTATTCTTGGCTGCAATTGACAAGTTTGATGCCATGCTGTTGAAAGGCAATGTTTATGCACCAGACGGTAATATGTTTGCATTCCTGATTCATTTATAATTTTCACATATAAGTGCAACTAGAGAATATTATGCTTACAAATTCTCTGTAAAGTATATCGCCTTGTATGGACTGTTGGAATTTAAAGTCATAAAGCACATTCCTGGCTCAAAATAATTGTATAAAAAATGTCTTATCTACCAAAAAAAAAAAAATGTCTGTGTATGAAGAACTGCATTAAGGATAGGGATTTAGGTCTTTATAACTTACACATGCATCATAGCCTGAGACACTCACACAATCTAACTTCATATAAGTTGCAATTTAGCTATGTTTGATGGCATCATGCTATTAGAATTTTTGAATAGAAAATATTATCTCCCGGATATCAAATTGTTCTTCTACAGCATCTCACTGTTTTTTTTTTTTTTTTTTCCACATATCCTTTTTATGGTGGGAGCGTTCCCAAACTCTTACTGTTATGTTTAACTTGATTTTAACATGATGAATTGCAGCTTTGTTCAGATGGGGTGCGGCATTACAGCAGAGATCTCGCTTAAGGCCAGGTAGTAGTAAAGAGAAGGTGAAGTTACTGCAGCAGGCTAAAAGGCTATATGAAGATGCCCTTCATATGGACTCCAATAACTTGCAAGTGAAAGACGCCTTATCCTCGTGTGTATCTGAGCTTATTTATCGACAATTTTAATTAATTCAAGGTAAGAGTTACCCAGAAAATCAGTTATCTTCAAATTCCTAGCTTTGATTATGTTATATCTGCCTTGGATCCAGAACCAGCAGCAGGTATATTTGCATAATTGGCCTTTAATGCAAATGAGTTTATGATTCCCAGTGTTGTCTTCTTTGTATTGACTCTTCCTATAATTTGGAAAAGATAGCACATACAATAACAGTAATAATAAGGATTCAAACCTGAAATTCCTCTCAATGCAATTTTCATCAAGGGGGTGAGAAATAAATTATTATTTTTTTGGTACAAAGAAATAATTTTTATTATGCACAATTGTGGACACACACAGTTGCTGTGTGGTGACGCACACTTGTGTGATTAGCATTATTCTAAACTTTTAGGCGCATCCTTGGCCTTAACAATTAACATCGACCTACCCGACTTGAAGTGCTCCACTTGTTTTGTTGTGCAGAAAATTAGGCTGGTTTGTCCCCACTGTATATGTTCCAATCAGTTCATCGTCGCTCATCAGGATTAATACTTCAAATTATTATTTGAATTTAATAGTAACAAAGTTGGATACCGTTGCAAGCCCACGTTAAGCATACTGTCCTGATTTAATTTCTTTCAATCGAAATAAATGAGATCATTTTGTAATATAAATTATAATTATTTAACGAGCAATACTTATATGAATAAAAGTTTTCGCACACTTTTCAATTTTTGTTAAATAAAAAATTAAACGTTCATTAATTTTATAAACAATTCGAAATTTCACAATATAAAAATATCTTGTCTTGAAAATAAAAATAAAATAAGGATTTTATATTTGTTATATTGCATGGTTCAATTTTATATTTTTACACATATATCAAAGTGGTATGGTTCACGTGTTCTTTTTTTTGTTTTTTTTTCTCTCTTTTTTGTTGTGTGAAGAAAAATAGAATTAGGTCATATAACGTAACAATATAAAACTTATAAAATAATGCCACCTACTCATAGAATTAAGTAGGTAGGATCAGAATATATATTCAATTTTTTTCAGTATCGTCTTTGGGAGGAGTTTAAAATCTTAATTTCAGAATTTTTCGCAAATCGAATTAATTGCAATTAACTGATTGAAATATTAAAAAAATTAAAAAGAAAGATAGCGACATGGAGAAGAGAGCGTAGATGCACGCTCCAAGGCGGTTAGAGAGTCAAGTTGTCTTCAAAACAGAACAAAAACGGCGCCGACCAGTACGAATTTCAAAAGTAATAAAAATTCCGAATCGCTAATTTCCACGTCACCACTTACGCCTCTGTCTGTAGTCTGTACAATAGGACTGGGCTCGTTCGGTGAACATGATGTGATAAGAGTACGATATGATACGAGACTAATAAAGATAGGATATAATATAAGATTGATAAGTATATATCATGTCCTATGTTTAACGAGCATCTTATTAGTAATCTAATGAGATTATATAGAAGGAGAAAGAAGAAAGAAAAATAAAATATAATACAATAAATACAAATATATTGAATAGCATGAGAATATATACGGTAGCGTGGGGATATATTAAATATCCAATATTGGTATCTTATCATGTTGAATCATAACTCAGCTTCTCTCATAGGATAAGAAATCATGTATTGGATAGAATAAAATGAAACAATAGGATAAGCTAATTATATAACTCACCAAACAAGAGATAAAAGTAAAATATGATAAGTTATCGTATCCTATTTTCTTTATCCGGTAAACGTGCATACAATTATAACACACGATTATCCCCCGTTATATTAACCGCAATTTCCCTTCTTTTTCGTTCTTTCTTTTTCTTCTTAATTTTCTCGTTTCTCTCTTCAGCTGGAGGAGCAGCAGAAGCTCCTTCTGCTCTTCGACCTAAAGTCATGTACACCCCAGAGGAACTGAATCGCATCAATCAACCTGGATCTTGTTGAATCCCAAAGATTCCCTTTTCTTTCCGGTAATTAATTGAATCCCTAATTTTTCTTACGTATTCAATTGCCTCTCCGGTCTCATTCACCCAAGCTCTAATCTTTTTTAGGTTTTTTTATTGGGGTATCTATTTCATTTCTTCGATTGGCAAGTGGGTTCTGATTTGTATATTCTTAACTGGTTTTATAGGGTCTGCTCCAAATGGAATTTTTTTTCTTCTTCTTTCTTTTACGTATTTTTGTTTTACGCTGTTGTCTGAGCACAGCTATGGCGCAAGTGAAAGGCTTTCGAGGTTTCTGTTTTGGTGTTTTTAAACTGTTCCTTGAGTTGGATTGTTCTGCTGCTCCTAGCGCTGTTGATGTTGTTTTCATGTGAGAACTCAGAATTTAAATGCTTCTAAGACACAGGCATCGTCTTATATGCAGTATTAAGCTCATCTCATGATTTACTTTGTTTGGAGATCAAATTCAAAGATGTTTCCCTTTAATCATTTGTAAAGAACTATTTCAACCAAAAAATTTAAGCGACTATGTTATATTAATGGTTTTATATTTTTCTAATATGCTCTTTCATACTTTATATTTCTCTAACATGTCCCTCACACGAAAGTCCACTGTGCTTGAAAGATGGACGATGCATTAGTCACAATCTATCTTAGCTAACAATATTTAATTATTAGAATGAGGCACTTACATCACTTCTGATACCATGTAAAGAACAATTTGAGCTTAAAGTGTGTTACATTAATGTTTTATATTTCTCTAATATCATTTCAAACTAACAAGTAGTCGATTGCCTTCTCGGTTAAAGTCAACTGTGTCATGGAAGAGAAATTTGCAATTCATGTTGAATATAGTTAATTATGCATTTTGTATCCTGGATACAGTGTCTTTGTGGCTTTTATTAGCGTCCTTACATTGTAGAACATAATTGAATTGACAGATACTAGACAGCTATCAGTAGTTATCAGTGGCTTTTATTTTTAATTTTTGTCCAATACAATCATGTTTGCGTCCCATTTCTTCTTCTTCTTTTGAAGGCAGGGATGGGGTCCTGCTTATATTTAGCTGCCAAAGAAATAAAAACTCAAGCGAGTAAATGCATGGAATTAATATCTCGTATTTTAATTATTCAATGAAGTTCCTGAAAGGTTGTTCGGTATTTGGTGAATGGAAATGTGGGATTGTGGTGCTGATGCATTACAAGATTTCAGCAACATGACAATCATGCTGATTGCAAGGTGGATAATGGAGAAATATGAAGGAAGGAGAAAACTGATATTAAATGACTGGGTTTAATATGTTTTCTAAGCATTTTTAGGGTGGAATTATATTGTTTTGTCCCAATAGAACAAGTTAACCTTTTATAATTACTCCTGCAATTAACCTTTCTTGGAAATGCTAGTTTCTGTGGTTATGACATAAAAGATTATAATAATTGGAAGGATATTGTTTTCTATGAAATCATTCACAAGCCTTCACCCTGCATTTTAGGGTGGAATTATATTGTTTGTCCCAATAGAACAAGTTAACCTTTTATAATTACTCCTGCAATTAACCTTTCTTGGAAATGCTAATTTCTGTGGTTATAACATAAAAGATTACAATAATTGGAAGGATATTGTTTGCTATGAAATCATTCACAATGCTATGATACATTTGAACCTAACATCTAGTGCATATATTTTGAAGCTACTGTATATTTTTCATGAACTAAGCCCTCTCCTAGAGTTATCTTAATAATAACTATTCCTGCTTATAAGATTTACATTAAGCTTTTGAAATGAAGTTTGTTCATTTCGAATTATTATGCTTGTGGTGGTAAATGTCTTTTACGTTCTGGTGTTTTGCACTTGGACATCTTATTACCTATCTACTTTTGCAACGTAGGTGCAATGTTTTTGACATCAGCTTTACCAAAACTTTCATTCAATTTCTCATGTTGATGCTATCTGTTTGTAGCTATATCAGTTCAATCAATTGTTCCCCTGGGTGGTGGAGAATTTAGTTTATTTTAAAAACATTGAAAATCCAAAATGCCGAAGGAGAGAAGAGATAGGTCCTTGTCACATGATAGTAGCAGAACATCACCTTATCCAAGCAGCTCTAGTCGTGTTAGAAGATCTGCTCCTAAAACTACTTTAGAGTCCGAGGAAAATGTCAAAGAATGGGAAGATGCTAGGTGTCCGGTCTGCATGGAACACCCTCACAATGCAGTTCTCCTCATATGTTCATCCCATGAGAAGGGATGCCGCCCTTACATGTGCAACACTAGCTATCGCCACTCAAACTGTCTTGATCAGTTCTGCAAGTCATTTACAGAAACCTCACCAACAATTCCTCAAGAAGAAAGTCAAATTTCAAGCACTAACTCATCTCATGTCCAAAGTACCGAAGCAAATACCATTGATATGCAAGAAGAAAGAAGTGAGGGACTTGTGACAACTCAACCCTTATCCTGTGAGGATGAAGCAAAAGAAAAGCTATTATGCCCTCTGTGTAGAGGGCAAATAAAAGAGTGGAAAGTAGTGGATGCTGCTCGTCATTTCATGAATGAAAAATCAAGGAGCTGTTCTTGTGAGACTTGCAACTTCAGTGGCACATATACAGATCTCAGAAAGCATGCAAGGCTTGAACATCCACTTGAGCGTCCATCTGCAGTGGACCCAGAGCGTCAGCGTAACTGGAGGAGGTTGGAGCGACAGAGGGATCTCGGTGACCTACTTAGCACACTTCAAACTTCCTTTGGGGAAAGTAGGGTTGATGATGGCATTCCTCCCATAGATGATGGTGGTTTGCTAGCTGTATTTTTCCTCATACTTCAACCTGCTTCTGTGTCTAGGGGGGCTACCACAGGAACTAGACTCCAAATGCGAATAAGGAGATCAAGTAGACTTTGGGGTGAAGGCTATGAGGAGGAATCTGCATCTGCTTCTAGAGATAATGCAAATGAATCTTCAGATGAAGGGTCTGATAATAATAGAAGGCACCGTGTTCGGAGACGGACAACACCTGACAATCAGCCATGACCTGGAAAATCAAATGTGACGATTTGAATTATTGTCAATGTTCCAAAGTAGTTGTTCTCTCTGATCCCTCCTCTTTGTGCTGCCTTTTTAGATGGTGATGAATAGATGTTTGTCATTAATCATTATTTCTGTTTCTTACAGGTAACAGGTGGAACAAAGGAGTTTTCGGCTTGGATCTTCGAATATGCTATGTTGAGTGGGGATCTGTTCTGGGTTTACATTGCTGATTGTCTAGGAATGGGAAAATTGTTATTCGTTGAGGATCCCATAATCCTGTATATTTAACATTTTTACCCTTCCTCCCATCTTGCTGCAATTTCTCGAGGATTCTGAACAATTGAGTTTGTGAAATAAAATTTACAGTTGTTGTGTCGGTTCTTTTCATTATTGGCTCGCCTTGCTTTTTACTACATCTACATGCAAGGAAACAAATTTGAAAAAAAACAAACGATTTGAGGTGTAATGTGGAACCTGGCTTGTTTAATTAGCGCGGGGTGTTCCTTTATTAAAATAGATAAAAGTGAAATTCAGGTGATACTAATCATAAAAATGTGCGTAGAATAAATACAGTTGAATTAATTATTATTATTTTTCAATTTTAGGAAGTAATATAATATGAGTGTTCAGTTTTCCGAGAATTCAGAAGATAATGTTTGTTTTCAAAAGATTTATAATGAAACTAAAATTTATGTTGAATATTTTTGGGCGTAAAATAAATTGGTCATGTTTGTATGTTTTTAATGTTTAACAACCTAGTGACAATACCTACTTGACAAAGGACAATTTTTATTTCTTTTATTTTTTTTGGTAAGGGAGACCATTTTTATTTCATACTAAATTTTGGAGATATAACAATTTTGCATGACTTAAAAATTTTGTATTTATCTTTTTTTTATTAATAATAATTGAACCCCATTTATTTAATATTTATGAAGAGAGAAATAGTCATAAATTTTTTATGAAACCAGATTATGTAAAATTTTAACATAATAATAAGATCCACTTTCCTAAATTTTGTACTGATCATCGAAAGTCGAGAATTCATGGCAAAAGGAACAGAAAAGCAAGGAATTGAATAAATTCAAAAATTCATGATAAAGTTTTCATTTGTTCCTAAAAGAATGGAAAAAGCACCAGAGAGTCCGAAATTACAGTTAAATTTACAAATTCAAAGAAAGAAATGTACAACTGTATTTTTCCATATGGACTAAAGTTTGACCACCTGTCAAGCAAAACTCAGTTCAATATTTCAATCAGATTATTATTTTAAATACTCAGAGGTTCAGGACAGGAAGGAAGAAGTAGTATCTTAATCTTACCGAATAATAAAAAAAAATAAAAATAGGGAGGTAGCGAGGTGGATTTCAAATCCAACGTTGTGGCAACAATAGCGGTGAACCAAATCTGACTTTTTATTGGAAGTAAACAGCATCTTTCTCAATCTCGAAGTCTAAGGTCTTGTTAGTTTAATTGTTTAGTTTGTTTAAGGTTCCTGTCTGTATATATCTATCTGTGTCTGTGTGACAAGTGCATCTCTTCCTCCGTGTCGTGATTACTTTCCTCTTTTGGTGATTTGATTTGTAAGGTTACCCTGTTTGTTCCAGAATCTATATAGATATTTCATTGGTGGAAAATGGGAACGGAGAACTCCTCTAACTCCAATTTGACCTCTCAATGCGACGACGACGACGACGATAACACCAAAACCCTTGTGGTCTTGAATGTCTACGATCTTACCCCTGTCAATAATTACATGCGTTGGTTTGGATTTGGGATCTTTCACTCCGGCATTGAAGGTTCTACCGTATATTCTCTCTCTCTGTCTCTCTCTCTTTCGTTGCTTCAATATTTTGAACTAGTTTTTTTTGCTTGTGCGTGATCTGTGTAGAGCTATTTTTGTTTGTTATTTCAATTTACTTATCTTTTTCCATTTTTTTTTTTTTTTTTTTTTTTTTGAGGATGCTCCTAATTCAAAATTTGACATGTACTGCGTCTTTAAATATGTTTTCTTTTAGAGTGAGTGCAACTTTTTTCTCCGTAAGTGGGGAGATATAAGTATAACCCTTGTTTACTGAATAATAATGGTTGATTCCAAACAAGAACACAATAACTTACTAGTTTGTAACTCTGATTAAACTTATAAATCAGAGAGCAAACTGTATAAAGAGGGAAAAACTAACATGCCAATGTAATGAACAGCAAGTATGTAAACTAAATCAAGAAGGCATTGCATGTACTAAGGGTAAACCACTTGAGTGAGGCAATATAATAGTTTGGAGATGGGAAGGCAACATTGTGATTTATAGTCCTGCATCCTCCTTCCAAGTAAACTTGTGAATTTTTACATCATAATCAGTCAAGGTTACCACAAACCAGCAACTTGCAACAGTCCAAGTCCTATTCCACCTTATAGAATGTTCCCATTTTTTTTTTTTTTGCTCCAAGAACCCGAAAGGGAACTCTTTTCTCTATGCAAAAAGCAGAACCCTAGGCTCAAGATTCCCGAGTGTTTCACACTCCAACAGTCACAATCATAACCCAGATCACGATGTCTGGAATAAGAAAGACAAATAATGCCTAAATGGCTCAGAATACAGAACACTACCAATACAGTATTTGCCCAGCAATGGCTCAAAAGTTATTTCGGTTTGAGTAACAAGTTATAAACTTAAAAAAAAATCTATTGAATGCTGATCAATTTCTTTGATCTAATGCTTGTGGGTGGTGCTTTTTGTACATTCAGAAAGTCTCCGGTCTGTTGGAGCTCATTTAATGCTGAGAATCCCATTCAACAGCTCTTTTCACAGTCCACTTAAAAGATTTCCCGAAGTGTGAAACTCCTTGCTTTCTGGTTTGGCATCTATAATTTGCAATCTTCTTCATACTTAGCTGTCCCAATCCACTTTATTGTGCCTAAGACAAGCTAGCTCCAAGTATTCCAAAGTGTATTCTATACCATTTACTAAAGGATTTAAGTATTACCTATCTAATACTTAACATAGTTATGTTGGTTGCGAGCATTAAAGGGAAAAGTACAGACTCCGGTGCACAAGGCTTCCTAACTTTGCAAGGATAGGGGTGAAGGTCGATTGTACGTAACCTTACTCTTACATTTTTGCAAACAGATTGTTTTCTAGACTCGAACCTGTGACCTTCTGGTTACTAGCATTACATCACAATAAACGCTACAGTCTTAATGTCAAGTGTAAGATGACATGCATGTATCTTCCATTGCAACATAAACAACTTGTTATCATCAAAATCATTATTATATATTTGATACCTTGGGGGTTCTCCAAAAGCCATCCTTTTAGAAGTTATGTGTAGTGTGTGTCAATGCGAGGTTTCATGTGTCTAAATTGGTTTGCCTGGTTGTTTGAGAACCTGTGTTCAATAAAAGATATAAAAACGAGAATGAAAATATTTAAACTTACTAAATTTTATCCATTTGATATACTATTTTTTAGGGCTTTTGAGTTCTTCTGAATAAGCATGTCAGTTTTTGTACTATTTTTTTGGAAGCAATGACTAATGTTTTGTCAGGATTGTTCTGTCGATGCTATCACTCCAGAAAGATTTTCTTACCTTTGTGATTTATTCTGATGTGTTCTCTGTTGTTGTTACTATTGTTTTGATTCTTGTGCTATTGCTAATCTGGTGAAGCTTTTTGTCTTTATTTCTTTGTTTGTTTCTTTTATTCCCAAATAGTGCATGGTAAGGAGTATGGATTTGGTGCCCATGACTTCGCAGCTAGTGGAGTTTTTGAAGTGGAGCCAAAGAAGTGCCCTGGATTCATATATAGATGTTCCATCACTTTGGGCCAAATAAATATGAATGCTTCTGAGTTCCGAACATTTATTGAAAACATGGCTGCTGAGTATCATGGGGATACCTATCACCTTATATCTAAGAACTGCAATCATTTTACAGATGACGTCTCATATAGATTGACTAGAAAACATATCCCAGGTTGGGTGAATCGGCTTGCTAAGCTAGGTAAGACTGTAAAAGGAAATTCTCTTATAAGCTTATTTTTCGCAGCTTTATGTATCTGTTTGCATTCAGCTTTGTCTTCATCTCTTTAGCAAGTGAGAGACACATCTAACATCAATCTTCTGTCTACCCAACATATTGGTTTTATGAAGTTTAGGGTCATTATAGCACAAACTTTCCTGAAAACTTACTTGAAATAGATAACAAAAGAAAAATCTTTAGAAATATTAAGTTTTAGTCTCTATTTTGTATCACAAAAATAAAAATTTTATTGTTTGTAATTACATGATATTTGAATTGAGTTTGATTCAGTTGTTGAACATAGAATCTAACGATGATATCAAACTTCAGTTGTTTTTGGGTGAATAAAATCATTTGTAATTTCATCATGCGAGAACATCATTTTTGGGTGATGGTACTAATCGAATGTATTGATTTCTCTCTTCTATTTCTGTTCTGTACTTTTTATGTTATATCCTCCCTATTCCTGCAGACTGCACAGGCATAATTGTTATTGAAACACAATGTGCATAGTCCTAAGTTCAACCTTTTGGTCAAAATTCCAGGTGCTTTATGCAGCTGTCTACTTCCTGAAAGTCTTCAAGTAACAGGTGTTAAACAGCTACCCGAATACCATGAATGCTCAGGTGTGTATATTTTCTTGTTCCTTATTTTTTTTTTCCAATCCAACATGTATCCTGATGCATACTAATTTTCATCTTGTTGATCTGTGTAACCTTCTGTGCTGCCTTTTTTGGTGACTGTTATGTAGATGATGAATTTGTCGAATCTCTTTCGAGTGCCACACCCCGTGGGTCAACAGAAATAGATGATGAACAAGAAAAACACCTTCTGTCACCATCATCTGGAACTGAGGAAGTTACTTTCGTTAAAGAGACCCAAGCAAAATGAACATGATTTGTTTGAGGTGAGACAACCCTTGGATAATACAGGCTGTCTTCGCATGAATATTTGTCCAATTGATTTGCAAGGATTCTTTATTTCCCAAAATTTTCTCAATCTTCCATGTTTGTTGTACCCTTTTTGTCATGTAATTATTAGGACTCTTAAGTCATTTGTCATGTAAAATTGTAAATTACATCCACGTGTGGAAACTGTCTTGAGTTATAAAATCTTTTCTTAGCAGATAAGCCAGTTTGTTTGAGGAATTTATGTGAAAAATCTTTCAAGTTCAAATATGAGTGCTTTAAATTGTTTTGACGAAGCTGCTATTTTCCAGCACAACAGTAACAAAAAGAACTGACCTCTGCAAGCACAATTGGGTCAGAAAAGTTATGTTCTTTCTTGAATTTATGTTTTCTTTTTCTTTTTCTTGAATAACTATCATTAGGTGCTTTTTGAAACATGTAGCTATCTGCTGGGATTTTCTGATTGGAAATATTTACATTGTGTTTTCATGGTTTGTTTTTTTAGTACGTATTGTTTGGTGTGAAATTATGCAACTTATTCCGATCCTATCCTAGCGAGAGCTGAAACTAGATGATGCATGTCATCAGATATTGCACAAGCATTGGATCCTTCTTATCAAGATTCGATTTTCTTGATTTGGCAGTGTTTCCAGCAACAGTTGAAGAAATATATTAATGTGGGTTTCGTTTTGAGCATAAATAGATATACGGAAATAATTATCTCATGTTTATCTCATGCAACAGAGATAAAGTAGTGAAGTTCATATTATTATTTTTTTTGTTTTTTTTTTTTACAAATAGTGAATCTCACTATTTATGAGATTAATAGATCCTATAGATATATTGTTTGATATTTCTGAGCTGTCCACAAATACATACTTCCCCAACCAGAAAATTTCTTTCCCTTATGTTTTTCTTTCCCTATCATAAACAAATTAAATTTATCTTTAGGAAGAAACCTGAAAGCATAAAGTTAGTGGTTGTGAAATAATTTTCTCTATTCTCTTGCACGAAACCATGATTGCTGTGTTCCCAAGCCAACACTCATTCGTCAAATGAGTTTTGATTAGTAATTCGTAAGAAAGTATTAATGAATGTGTTGCTTACATTTGTCTTTATTATAAACAAGTTAAATTTATCTTTTAATGTATAATCAATAAAAAAGTTTCCACATTATCATCTAATCATAAATTGTGAAATCATTATTGAAGTTAGACAACTTAAAATGTCTAGATATTTAATAATAACCATATTATGATTAAAAAAGTTATTAGAAACACATCGGTTACAGAATTTTCTTTTTGAAAAAATATCTTGAAATGATGTGCAAATTCATCAAAAGAGGCAAAATTTACAAATCTTCAAAGAAGATACGTAAGATAATTGTTAAAGAATTAAATCAATATTATTCCAAGCAAATTTAAATACGAAAATTCACTTTTGAAATTCCAAGTGAACGGTTAGTAATTTGGAATGAATGAACAAGAAAACCACACCCCATTTTTTTATTAATTTTTCTCGATTTATCTTTGCAAGAAAAGTCTGGTTCTATTGATATTACTCGTATTATTTTTACTGGTTCTATAGATTTCACTCATTATTTTTGCAAGAAAAAGACTGGTTTGTGTAAAAAATTTAAGACAACGTCTGCAAAAGATTTAGTCAAATGGAACCTGTAAATCATATACAGAAAAGCCATGACTGACTTAAGTTATGAACATGGCATTCCATAGTAGCAGGGAATGTTAAAAATATGCAGTAGTGAAAAAAAAATAAAAATAAAAAATCAACTGTATATATAATTTCCTTACTGAAAGTTTTGAAACCAAGTTCCAATTTATACAATTGAAGAAACTAAGTAATCTGAACCAAAAATAAGAAGAGAAGACCCTAAAACAGAATCAACTGCCTTAAGACCTTTGATCCCCAAAAGCATAGTGCTATCTGGGAGATAAAATAGTGGTTCCCATGGAATAGATAGATGTACGACCCTCATGGCTCGACATAGAGGTCAATAACCTTGCAAGATTATTATGATCTTCAGGGTCTTCATCTGCAGATAATAAATCAACAAGAATCATTCTAGTACCAGGTGGCTCATCCACCATCCCACGCCCTTCAAGCATATCAACCACTTCAACCATGCTAGGCCTCAATCTTGGTCTCTCTTGTATGCACCACAAAGCAACATATACCAATCTACTCACCTCACTCTCATCAATACCCCCACGTTCCACTAGTCTATGATCCACAATTTCCATGAACTTTCCTTGTCTCACTTTCTCATTCACAATCTTTGGGAAAAACTGCCATTTTTTCTTGGACTTGTCCTTAGGATCTTGTACCCTTGACACATTCCTTGTCCCTCCAATTATTTCCAACAGAACCATCCCATAACTATAGATGTCAGTTTTCTCTGAAACCCCTCTCTCCAAGATCCATTCAGGGGCTAAGTACCCTCTTGTTCCCCTTATATTTGTCATAACTTGGCTCACATCCTTGCCAACAAGCTTTGAGAGACCAAAATCTGAAACAAGCGCTTTATAATTCTCATCTAGGAGTATATTCTCTGGCTTCACATCAAGGTGCAAAATTGTTGATCTGCAATCATGGTGAAGGTAAGCAAGTGCCTTGGCAACATCAATGGCAACTCTATACCTCAAGTTCCAAGGCAAGCACCCACCACGACGTGTTTGAGTTTCCTTTGAAGGAAAAATCCAACAATCCAAAGACCCATTTGGAATATACTCATAAACAAGGTACCTAGGTGCTGTAGGAGCATTACAATAGCCAAATAGCCTCACAAGGTTAACATGTTGCACACTAGCAATGGCTGCAACTTCTGATCTGAACTCCTTCTCTCCTCGTTCCTCTCCATCAATTGTTTTCACAGCAACTGAAGTTCCATCATTGAGAATGCCTTTGAAAACTGAAGCAGAGGACCCTTTTCCTACCAGTGCTTGAAAACCATCCGTTGCTTCCTCAAGCTCCTTGTATCGAAACTTGGTTGGAACACCAGCAACTTTCCTTAAGAAACTGTACTCTATTCGAAGCTCTCGACCTTCAGATTTGTACTGTGACTCCAATAACCTCCTTCTGCGATTGTAACGTTGCCTGATGAGTACACAAGAAAAGACAGCAAGAATCACAGCAACAGCAGCACCACAAATGAGGAAGAAAGCGCTTGAAAGTTTCAACGATACACGAGCAACGATGATGACAATTATCAGTGCGATCACTGACACAACAGCGATTGTGTTCACTTTCCTGTCCTCCATCAAAACTTCATTTTATTTTTTATTTTGGTTTTAAGGTGAAGATGTAAGCATAAAGCAAAAGATCCTCTTCTCTTTTATGCTTCCAGCTTGGTAATCTGCCAAGAGCAAAGTAGGTTAGTTGAGTATTGATTGCAGAAATAAATGTGTGTAACTTGCATATAAATGTTTAATAAATTTCAATGATGGGGACCATTTTTCTCGTTCAAAATAGTTAACATGTTGAGATATTGGGTAGTTTTTACAATATTTATATAAATAAGAAGCACCCAAGAAAATGAAACCCAATAGGGTCTCAAAGACCAAAGAGTGCCATCCATTGTACTTTTGAGGTCAATGAATTCTTTTGTCAAATTTAGGCATTGTTTTGGTCAACAATTGAGTTCTCCAATATGGTGACAAATGGGGAAAAATAGAGCTTTAATTTGGTCAACAATTGAGTTCCTCCGCGGTTTATTATCCCATCGCACTTTAATCATGTCGAAGTGCTCTGTTATGTGAATCACGATTTTTAGAAATATAATAAAAAGTTAATTTTTTTGAAAAGGTTAATAAAAAAGTGTTTAGTAGACTAAAATATTTACAGAAATATTAAGTTAATTTTCTTAATACTATGTTTAATTGTATTACATTTTTTCTTATCATAGAAATCCTAGAATACCACCCCAGGATGTTATTTTTAGATGGTATTTTCCAAAAAGTTCATACACAAAATAAAATTTCGGAAAAATCAAATTCCAGAGAAAATTTTAAAAATTTTGTAGCAAACGTGAATAAATATGATTACCACTCTTAATTTTTTGGAAATCCTAAAAAATACGTCGTACCAAACGGCCCGTTTATTTCACGAGAAGACATTCTGCTTTAAGAATAAATAATTAAACATTTACATGAACATACTTCATTAAAACTTTTAAATATTATTTCACCTGTGAGTGTATATATATACACAAATGAAGGCAATTAACACTATTTATCTTTTATGAAAAATACTTGCATAAGTCTAATATACGTGTCCTAGGTAGATTATACAACAGTTTATCATAATTAATTATTTGATTTACCTAATAACCTCAACTAGACTGTATTAGAGTTATAAAAGTAACTCTCGTAAAAATTATGTAGGTGTCTAATATACGTGTCTAATATACTTTGCATAAGTCTAATATACGTGTCCTAATTTCGTCGTGCTCAGAAAACAAATAAGAAGAAAACGTGATATTAATCATCACATTCACAGTAGCTTCGTACAATATACTTTGACAATTGACACCGAATAATAAATTTTGAAGAAGCCTACACAATAATCACTCAAACGGAGTATGGACCAGAGAGAAAGCGAATGCTTACGTATTCTTGACATATTCAAACAACTAAGTTATAGTGTTTTGTCAAAATCATGATGCTAGCGAGGGGGATAATTAAGCTCATCTCTTCAAGCATACGATTCTGTTGACGGTTAAAATATTCCTAGTTCATTTCTAGTTTAAGAATGAGTCCACATATTACAATATGTGTTAACAAACATTAATTGAAGATTTGGGCTTTTGACATTCTTGCAGAAAAGTAACTGAGATAGACACCCATATGGTTCACCTATTGATAAATGAAGAATCTGTTTCAGGAAGAATAAAAGAAGAGATGGTTTCCATTCCGAATCTTTTCCTTTGTTTTCCACTCTTTGAAGTACACCATTTTAGTCTAAAGTTGTGTTTAATAGTGGAGCTGAGTATGAATAAGATAAAATAATATGAGTAAAGTAATTTTTGGTTTTAAAAAAAAATTACAGGACTCGTTTTAATTACTTAGAAAAAAAATGACTCGTGATTTTTTCAAAATTTAAAATAGACTCAGTTAATCGAAATCATGATTCCTCTGATATTCAAAAAAGACTCACGTTAGTCTCTCAAAAAATACTAAATATTAACATGGATCTATTTTGAATTTCAGATAGATCACGAGTTGATTTTTTTTTCAAAGGATTAAATTGGATCCCGTAATTTTTGTTAAAGATCCAAAATATACTTTACTCGAATAATATTATCAACTTAAACGTAAACAGGAACAGATTCTCTTTGAGTTAGATTTTCAAAATTTATATTTAAATCTGAAGGTCTCGATTAATTGGTTAAAACAGGGTGCTACACAGGCCGGGAAGTTCTAGTTCTGCATAACTTATTCAAGTTTGCTTTCAATTTTTAACAGAATGTGCACATCATAAACTCAGTAGTCAATAGGAAATGATGCTAGATCCTCTCACAATGAACAATTAAGTTTTCTAGTATTCTATACCTTGACACAAAAGAAACTGCAATGCATTTCAAAGCTCCACTTTGTTCTGCAATTTCAAATTTGATCTTCACAGATATTTCTGCTTTGATCCAATACTTGTAGTATTCTACTCTTCAGTTGATTCAGTGATGAGTTTGAACTGTTTTTGCTTTTTTATTAGTGGATTCTTGGATAAATAAATGTTGCAGGTTCAAACGGGCTTCTGTAGGCTAAATCAGTGACAAAAGATAATTACCATACAAAGGCAAAATATTTATTATCTTTGAATTTTTAGTGGATATGAAACTATTTCTGTTCCTGATTTGTGTAGACAATAAGGGAACAAATGAACAACCTTCACCCACATCAAGTCGTAGGAACCACTCGCTATAATAAAAGAGAATGATTGTTATGCTGCCACAGTGAGCGATATAAAGAAAGTCAGATACAAGTTTTCGTTGTGAAAAACCTTGGAAACAAAAACGCTATGTGAATTTGAAGGGTGATTTGTGTACCTCGGAGATAAAATTATCTTTAGTAATCCTAAAACTAAAAGTTGAAGAATTAATCAAGGATATTTTGATAAAATTTATATACAAATTTTTTTTTTCAAAAATATTCTTTATTAATTCTCTCAATCTCAAAATAACATAATTTATCGATAAATAAAGTTATCTTTTGCAATCTCAAAACTATATTATTTAATAATTAAAAGAATTATAGAAGGATAGTTTAATAAAATTCATATATCAAACGAAGGATAAAGGCATTCTACAAGGTTTGGTTTTGTTTTTTTAGCCCTATTATTAAGGGCCCTTTGGACATGAGCATAAACCATTACATCATCCGTTCGTTAAAAGAAAAAAATAGGGGATGTTGGTTTCATACTGGTTCTGTTGGAAGGTCAAGAAGGACTTGTGGCCCAAAAAAGTTATTTGATGAAAAAAATGATAAAAAATTTAATTGATGAGTTTGAAAAAATATGAATTAGTTGATATACATTTTAACCACCATAAGTAGCGAAAATAAACATTTTTTATAATATTATTTTGTTTGATGCTATTCTCATTTATTTTTCTATAAGTTGAAATTATTTATGACTTGTTATAGTAACTCCTATCTATTTATAGTTACTTGGATGACCGAGGATGAAAAAAAAATCATATAATTGCAATTAAAAAAATAATGTATCCGTTTGATGCAAAATTCAAATATTTTAGTGGATTAATAAAGTTCGTTGTCTACGTATTCGATTTCGCAATTAATTATGTACATAATTAATGTGCAACTGTAATGTGACAAACTCTTGTGAATTGTGAATGTATTACATGCATAATGAATTGTACATCTAATATATGTGCAATTGACTAAATTTTACCGCATAACACTATTATGGCCTGTCATGACACCTAGCATTTAGTTGCACATTAAATATGTGCACAACTGGCCATCTGACTGTATTTGTTCAATAATTTGTGTGAAAATTGCATTAAATCAATATATTTTTTAAATTGCAATTATCCAAATTCTTTTTCCGTAGGAATGAGTTATAGCCAAATGCATAACAAAAGTGTACCCAAAAAAATGTATACCAAAATGGAATTCTAGAACCTTTTTTTACCTTATGAACAATTTAAATGTTTACACAACTTTTAATTTTTTTTCGTAGAGATAAATTTAAAAAAAGAAAGATATTTAGGATATTTTCAATTAATTTTTAGATATTCTCTTTAGAACCTAACAGTTTTATTCCCTGATATATGCATGTCTTATATATTTCAGCATTTACCATAATCTTGATATGTCTTATATGCCAAAATGAAATAAGAAAATTAGGACAAATAAAATTAGAATGTATCACGCTTGTCTTATTTTCTGTTCGTTTTTTTTTTTTTTTTTTTTTTTTTTGTAATAAGGAGAGTCAAAGCTCCGACCAAAACAAAATTACAAAACAAGATGACTTAAAAGATCTACAGAAACATTCTGAAGAAGGAGCTCTAACAGAAGGGGAGGTGGATTATGATAAACAATGAGATTTCTATCATTCTCAAAATGCCTAGATGCAAGCCACTGAGCACATCTGTTATTCTCTCAATTGGTGTGAACCCAACGAACGTCCCAATCCTTTGCAAGCCACTTGTGAATATGGAAAACAATTTGAGAATTTCTGAGATTATTACTTTCTCTTGTACAACGCTAATTGCATTCTCTAAGTCACATTCCAACTCTATTCTCCTAGAATCAATACCCCAAGCCATCTTTAAGCCTTTGAGTATATCCCAAAGTTCTATATTTAGAGGGTTACAGACATCTAACCTGAAAGAAAAATCACCCAGAAAAGCACTATTGTGATCTATAATAAGGCCCCCACAACTAGCATGCTTCCTAGAAAAGGATGAAACACCATCTGTATTAATCTTCAACCAACCAGAATTTGGACGACACCACTTAGTAGGCTGCTGGACACTAGAATTGCTACCAAGAATGCTTATGTTTTTCCTCTTAGCTACATTTAAATGAGAAATAAAATCAGAAATTACAAACTTGTCTCTGCTTGGTCTCCGAAAACTGCCATCATGAATCTGAAGGTTACGCCAAGTCCATAAATGCCAGCAAGTAGTAAAGAAAACATCTATCCAGTTAACTTGGTCTTGATGATTCCAATCCTTACTCATGTTCCTGATGAGCCAATCCTGTAGGTCTAAAGAAAAGAACATTGGGGAACCCTTCTA